GGTGGTTTTTGGTGCAATTCCTTCTGGGAGAGCAGTTCCTTATAGGATTGTATCTAGCAGATTAAATGGCCTTCTAGTCTGAACAGGTTGTCCCTGATGCATTTTCTCAACTCGTTTAACTGCTCAGGTTAGAGACAAAAGTCCTTTTTCCCACTCAGAGTGTCTCCGCTCCGTTTCTTTAAATGCAGTTGAGCTAAACAGTAAAGGTCTCTTGGGTCCGTTAGGGCCAGTTTGAAACAGATTACAATAAGTACCATGTTCTGCAAAACCCCGTTCTGCTATAACAGGATCGTGGGGGTGAATCGGTCCCAGTGATTGGTACGTTTTTAATTCCTGTATTAAGGTTTCAGCTGCTTCTTCATGTTCTGAGTTCCATTGCCATGGTTTTCCCTTTTGTAAAAGTGAGTAAAGTGGGCAAGCAATGATAGAAAATCGAGGTACATGTTTTTTCCAGTACCCTAAAGTACCCGTGAGTTGTTGTAGTTCTTCCCTAGCTTGGGGCATTTGTAACTGTTCTATTTTATTTTACTTAGGGTGTCTGGTGGAATCGCTGCACTACGTGCAATCCACCAAGTACCTAAAAATTTTACCTCTCTGCCTGGTCTTTGACATTTCTCAGGTGGGATCTCAACCTCTGCTCTGTGTGGTGGCTGTCGCCCTGCTGCTGCTGCTTCCCCAGTGTCTCAGGGGAAGTACCCCTGGTTAGAATATCATCTACATATTGGTATAGTCCCACATCCAGGGGGAGTGACGCCTTTTGTAAAAGTTCTGCAAGCGCAGCATCAGCGATTGCGGGAGAATGTTTATATCCCTGGGGGAGCCTGTTAAAAGTGTATTGTACACCTTCCAAAGTGAAAGCAAATTTCTCTTTGTCTTTTCCCTGCAAGAGGACCATGAAGAACAATGTCGTTCACATCCGATGTCGTCATCCAGGGGTGTGTAGCTGCTTGCGAAGTAGCTGTTAGGTTTGCAAGGTTTGCTACAGCAGCTGCTAGCGGGGCTGTACTGGCATTCAAGCGCCGATAATCAATTGTTAAATGCCTTACGGACTGGCCAGAAGAGTGAATTCTATGGGGAATGAGTTCTAGAAATGATTTGTCTTTTCTCTAAATCTGTTATTACCTCTGAAATTCCATTCTGTGCCGCAGCAGAAATCGGGTATTGCGGCACATTAGCAATCTTTCCATCGGGAAGCGCAGGGGCTGTGCAGAATCCTGGTTTTTGTCAGGGTTGGGGTTTGAAGGGAACGACCACACGCTACCGTCCGGCAAGTGCCAGGCTCGGCCGTTCAAAACATCAAAGCCTAAAATACTTTCTTTGTGAGTCTTGATAGCAAAGCGAGTAGATAACACAGGCTTCTCGCCCGGGAGCCATAAATTTACTTCTGTGGTTTGGCACAGAACACTTGCTCCGTTTACTCCAGTGATTTTAACTCTTTGCTGTCTGGGTCGTACACCCAGCTTCTCAGCATCATGTTGTGTTAAGATTGAAATTTGTGCTCCCGTATCTATTAGGAATGTCACTAATTGTTGTCGAGGACCAATTGGAATCAAAATGTATGGGCCATTGTTATAAATCCATTGATAAGATTCCACTTGCCGGACCGACAGACCCAGTCGTCGTCCGGGTGCTACTAGTTTTTTGTTTCCGAACCTTTGGGATCAAAAGGGGTATTACTCCCTCTTGGAGGAGGAGTCGGTGTCTGAGTGTTCGGAGCATTTCCTTTCTGAGTGTCGTCCTTACGTTTCTGAAACGCACGAATTAGACTCTGAATAGCACTGGCACTTTGTCTTTGAACTGCAATTCTAGGGATACCTAGTGACAATGCTTGATTGTATAACTCTCTCCATCTCTGAGTTCTGGATTGATGATCAGTGGGTTCCTGTACTGGGGGGTTATCTTGGATTGATTGTTTAGGTTGCCTAACATTACGACTTGTCTTTTTGGTTTCATCAGATAGATTATCCCACCCCATTTTGCGCCCCTGATTTATGATGTCGTGCATCAGTGTAGCCCAGGTAGGGAGATTTCTTTGCACTAGGGCCTCTTCCTTGTTGTCAGCGGCTTCTTTTATGGCCAAAAGGGGATTAAAGTCTGCGTCTCTTCTGATTTCATCTCTTTTTACAATGAGGTAGGGTTTTGGCATAGCAGGATCTCCCTTAATTAGAGGCTTTAGCATGTCAGGATCCACAGCTGCTGATATGGGAACATTAAGAGGGGCACATTCGTTCATGGCCTGGATAGCGGCAGCTTTTGTAATAGCTGTAGAGAGCTCGTTCAAGGATTTGATGGGTATTAATAGAGGCTCTCCTCCCTCTAAGACATCTTTTCCACCAGTCCAGTATGCCACTCTACTTGTTATCGAGTAGGGATCTTTTGGGGGTGCGGGTCCAGCATTTAAAAAGACACCAGGGCCCCCAAATCCATTGGCTTCATCCCCATTAAGGAAGATTCTGTCTCCCCTGGTTAGACGCACTCGCCGTATATATTCAGTTTCAGTTTCGCCTGGCTTATGGCCGTAGCGTTCTTGTAAATTGGCCATTTGAATTGGATCGAATGGGGGTTTTTTTCGGGTACAATCTCCTGCTGCACCCGGAGGTCCAGCGGTGTTGTCTGTTTTTATGATGGCCCTGCCCTCATATTCAGGGGAATTTAAAGGAAATGGAGGATATGGAGGATTAATTTGGTTTGCATAGTTATCATCAGGGTCACCCCATATGTTTCCATCCCATTCTTCAGGGGATACAATCAGTTTTCTAATTTGCACGATGTCAAGGGGACGGGGAGCTTGCATAAGCATCTTTTCAACCCTTTCCTCTAACTTCTGTTTTTTCTCTTTTTCTTCCTGCAACTGTTTCTGCAGCTGCTCAATTTTCAAGGATAGTATTAATTCAGCTGCTTTTCTGCCTTCCATTTCTTCCTTTAGGTCCTTTTCTCTTTTAATGCTATTCTTCCTAAACTGACAAGCGGCTTCTAAGCAGGTGCCTAACATTTGGCAAATAATTCTGTTTTCTTTTCCACCATTCCCATTGCCCCTGGCTGACTTTAGTTGTTTTTCCACGGACTTCCAATCATGCCAGTTATCACGAGCCCATTCCTCAGAAAATTTGGGACTCAGACTAATTCCATGTTTTAGTAAGTAATCAGTGATGCTACTTGCCATCCTGCCAACTACGCCAATTTGTCGTGGGGGGCGGGAATGAGAGAGGAGTTCGGATCGCTTAAAGAATTGCCTCCAATTGTATTAGCAATAGGAAACTAAGTTAATAGGAATTTATACAGAAGTGCAACTTCACAGAATTTGATGGCAAGGTTCACCCTGTTACTTAGTACATGGATGAAATGCACTCAGGAAAATGAAGTTAAAATCAGACTAAACTTAGGTATATAGAGACCAAAACATAATAGGGTAAAAGGAAATATTACAAAGAAAAATCGAGTTAGAATTAATTTCTTGCAATTTGTGCAAAGGTCGGGAATGTGGAAAAGTAGGGGAGACCCTCCCGTTGAGTCACGAGGTTCGGAGAAGACCCCCTTGCTTTCTAAACTCCTGTCGGAGTCTAGGTGCGGCTGGATCGACTCCTAGTCCCAGACTTGGGCAACGGTTTATATCTAAAGGGATTATGAGTATGATAGCAGCCTAAAATTTATTCAGAGTTGAATGGAATTCACGACAGTAACTTAAGTATAAATTTGAAAGTAGTAACTTATAATACACTTGCTATAATATGCTTATCGTAGCCTATTCAGGTTAGTACACTGAGAGATACACAAACAAGAGAGTAAGAGAGGTCTACCTGTTAAAAATTCCCCTCGATGTCAGTGAAAAGGTTCACGTCAAATGGTTCGGCATCTTTCTCAACGGGCGGAGGGCCGAGCCTCAAGGAGCGGAGAGAATCAGCCCAGGCCGTGTCGGCTTTCGGCGGCAGACCTCCGATTTTCTCAAACCGTCCGGTTTGGGAGCTCCGAGAGGCGTCCTGCTCGGAGGGAGGTGCTGGTCGCAGCCCGCTGCGGTCCGGGAGAGCTCAAAGGGCCTCGCTCAGCACCGCTGCTTATAGGTTCAGGAGATGATTGACCTTAGTCATCAGCAAACCGCTGGCACCCCAGCGGCGCTGGAAAATTCCGAGGCTGCCTGCGAAGAACGTGAGACGCAGACACGGGATGCTCCGAGATGGCCAGGGGAGGGCTGTAACGTCTCAAGGTTGTTATGAGAACGGGCTGCGGGTGGTGATGAGAACCGGCTATCGCCGTCCCGTCCCCCGCCTCCGCCGGGCAGCAGGAGTCCTTGAGACGCGCGGCGTATCTCCCTGCCTCGGCTGGGTCGGAGCTCCTGGCACGGCCAAGGGTCGCTGGACCGCCCCACTCCTTGCACTTATGCTAAGGGCTAGCGAGCCGTCCCGAGTTCCTAAATCAGCCTGGAAAGGGGGAAGAAATGCACCACCGCAGATGTGTCCCATCTGTAGGACGCAGAGGGCTCGCTCGCAGGCTAACGTAGGCAGAAAAATGAACGTAGAGGTTTTTTCATGTTCTATACGTTTGGAGTTACATTGTCAGGAGTTACATGGTCGTGTAGTTTCTGCCGCAAAGCTCCGAAGATGGAGCCCACAGTTAAACAGCCAGGCTCCCCGGGCATGCACAGGGGGAGTTACTTGCTGTAGCGTGAGCCAGGTAACAGCCAGGTGCAATAATCTGCTTCATTTAAATGAGAAGACAGGTCTAAGAAGTGATTCGTTTTAAGAACTATCACCTAGAAAGTTTAAAGAAATCAGTTTACCTGAAGAGCAACAATCAGCCTGTATTTGACAAAAGAGCGAGGTACCATTGCTTTTATTTGAAAAAATAAACTCCTAAATAAAAATCAGAACAGACTAGTCCTCATCTACCGGTCCAAGTTACAATGTGTTGCGTTTAACAGTATGATTTGCATAAGTATGATTTTGTCAGTGTAATTGTATGATGCAACCAAAGCATGTTTTGATACCTTTTTCATTGTTTTTCAGGAACAATATGAATTCTGCTACAGAGTGGTACAAGATTTCATCGACATATTTTCTGATTATGCTAATTTCAAATGAAAATTCCTGCCTTATTTTTTAATTTGTCTGTATAAATAGTTGTATATTCTGTTAATTTATTCCATGTCATTTTGATTGTTGACTTTACTGTAAATATGACCTTGTGTTTGCTCTAAAAGTTGCGTTTGCTGTATAAAGTTATTTCTTAAATATAAATATCTTCTAAAGCAAAGTATAATGTTCATATACAGTATATCACTATAAGACGGTATAGAAATCTTTATTCTAAATAACAGTAAATTAATTCTTGAGGGCCTATTTCTTTGAATTTTTCCACTTATAAATATTTATCAAAAATGTTATCTCCCAATTCTTGGAACTTTACGCAGGCGATTTACATTTCATACTAAAAAAAAAAGTGAATTGTGGTACATAAGTTTAAACTAAACATGTTTTCACCATAAACCTTTCTTCACTATGAAAATAGATGTTTATTTGGGGACACATTCTGATAACCTGCTCCTGCTTGCTTGTAATTTATTTCACAAATAGTCTCACTGAAGGCAAAGAGACTGTTCGAGTGAAGTGCTATTAATGATGAAGGTATCAGAATGTGGCCCTTCATGTGTAATAATGTACAGTCCAACTGAAAAATATAACTGCTTTTAAAGTCTGTTTTTAAGAACCTCCCGGTTGATGGCAGTTCTATTTTGAGTCTTACTGTCAATAAGATATAATCAGTATAAATACAGATGTGAATGTTTGATTTAATATAGCTTTCAAAGTCCATTTATTTTGTTCTTTCCTAAATATTACACCAGCTTAAATCAATTTAGAAAGACAATAATGTGAGTTTACCACTATTTTGAGAATATTTTGCATATCGGAAGAGTATATTTTGCAGCACCTGAACTTGTCTACTTGAAGAGGCTTTACAGCCATTGTCAGAAATGGATTTAAAGCTTCTCTATATACACGTGCATAATTTTCCACTTCTTTGAGAAAAGGCAAGAGAGATGAACTCCTATTCTTTGATTCGACTCCACAGAATAATTAACAGTATTTGCTAAAATTTTGAAAAAAAACCAAAAAAAACCATTTTACTAACAGTGTAATGCTGGCAACATGAAGTGTTGTAGCAAAAAGCTCCTCTGGGTTCTTACCCTCCCATATATATTATAAAAAAAGGAATGATTCCTTTATCTAAAAGGGGTATATGATTGTGTACATAGATATATTTTTAATGAAAGTACTACTGATAATACGATTGGTGTAATAAAGTTTAAAAGTCTTTATCATAGCCCTGAACAGGCTATGCTTGGGGTTAGAAAATCCAAAAACCACAGGGCATCCGAATGTTGAATAATTAAAAAGTATATCTTTTCCACTCTTTAAAATGCATATATGAATTAATGAGCACAAAGTATGCGAATATGTACTTTAATTACATAACTAATATGCAATAGTTCTGTCTTGTCCAGTTGGTTGGGTTTTTTCAATGCAAACATAAAAGCCTTATTTAAAATAAGCAATTTACACTGATCATTTCACTATTGTTCTTGCACTGTTTTATCCCATGACCATTTTTCATTTCCGATAGCAAATAGCATTATGCTTTGTAACAATGCAAGGGAACAGGAAGGTGTTCGTACCTCTCCTTTCATTTCATACTGAATGCAAAAGGTGCAGTTTAGAAATTCCTAAGCACACTGTTCTGAACACTGCCATTTACTGCTTCTCGTCTTCCCATCAATGCACTTCTGTATTTATTTGTACAGTAAATTATGCACTTAAAAAAGATTGTTTAAAGACTAAACCTTTGCTGTGAGCTGCTATGAGAAGATACACTCAAGCCGCAGAAAGTGTCGAGTAACGAAAATGAATGCTAAGTAAGTTTACATTACTACTGCATGCTGAAATTTTATCAGATTTTAAAAAGCCATCAAATAAATTCAGTATGGAAACCAATACAGTGGGGTTTTCAGTATGATCATTTGTAGCACAGGGAGACTCAGAGAGGTTAAATGATGATAGAAAATAATGCAAAGAAATTCCCACCATTTTCCAAAGCCCCACGTTTTAGGGTCCCGGTTAGATCCCAGGGTCAGGATCTTTAGCCTACATTTGAAAAATAATTTGTCTGTTGGGCAGCCTTTTGGGTCCCTTAAATAAAAGCTTGGATTAAGAGTGGCCTCGCAAAGCAAACCTGCTCCGTGCAGTGGCAACGCGGTGTGCTGTTAGCGGGGGGACACGGCCCCCCGGCAGCGGCAGGAGCTGCAGCAGAACTCGGGCTGCCCCACGGGGTTTACTACAGGGGATAGTTCCGCGGGGCACAGGCAGCTCTTCGTAGTTACAGCAAGTAGTGGGATGGAGTAACGCTGAAATGTCAAATACTAAGTGGGTACTCGGATTTTAGTTGCTAACTGTACTAAGAGACCTAGGAGGAAACAGAAATACTTATATTTCAGAAGTCACAAATATAGCTACATAACGACTTTTTTTTATAATTTGAAAAGCTTGCTTTCCAGTTCTTGTGTTTAGTCAAGAGACTGCTCATTGCAGCAGCCTAGTAACTGGGGAGCTGTACCTTGATATAGATATATATGAATTTTCTTTTCGATTTCCCTATGTTGCATGGAGTTACTTTAAAATGCCAAATAGTTGATTAGAAGTTGTACATTCTGATCTGTATGTGGTTTTGGTCACTATGTGACTCGACTGTCTGTTTTCACGTGTTAAGAGAAGTTCCAGTTCACCTAAGCATTTAAGCATTCGCTTTACGACATCTCTATTCCGCAAAACATTTAAGTACCATAGGTTCTTTGTTCCTGAAGCAATCCCTTAAGTGCTTTGCTGAATTGGGCCTTAATGAAGAATGCATACTGTAATTACCAGTGTTTTTTAGGGTATTTTTACGTATCAGTTTTTTAAACTTTTAAAATGAGCCTGACCACCTGTGTTCAGTATTTTGAAATGGTTTTCATTTCCCTCGTACCATTTTTAATGTAAAGTTATTGAAACTTTTCTGTATAACCAAATTGTATTTAATTTGTCAAATCTTTATAATATATGTATGTATTATACAGTTTCAGCTATTATTATTTTCTTTTATTACATTTATAATTTGATCTTGCTGTGTTTTTAATGCCGGTGAATGTTGCTGAATTATTTGTATATGCAAATTGCAAGATCTAATACATTCTGATGCAAGAACAAAGCTTCGTTTTTATTCTCAAACTGTATTACTTCCTTTAAATCTTTTAATTTCATTCCTGCACTGTGCGTTCATTTGAATTAAGTATTCTAAAAGAGTTGAAATCCATTATCTAGATAAATAATTTTTCAGTACTTATCTGCAGCTATTTGGGAGTAATATTCTGGTTCATGTCGGAACTGAAGCATTGTGCATATAAAGCGCATATAAACTCATGCTAGGAGTTGAAAGGCCGGGTCTTCCCAAGCTGTATTAATAAGTAAGTCCTGACAATGCAGAGCTTTGACACGACTCGTAAGGGAAGGCTGCAGTGGGACGGGTATAAATGTGATGATGCAAAGCCTGACCCTGCAGTACCTCAACGACTGCTGTCCCTCCGGTATATTCGTACAGCACCTAGCGCCGTGGCTCTCTCTGCTCGAGCCCTTCCAGCCCTCCCGTCCAGCAAAGCGTCGGCGCGGGGCAGAGCTGCAGGAACTGGGGGTCGTGCTCCCCTCGAGAGAGGCGGGGAGGAGCGGGGGAGCCCAGCGCCCTGCTGCATCGCAGGCTGCTCGGCGGGGCGCAGGAGCGGGTTTTGGGCTCGGAGGGAGACGGGCGTTCACAAAACGGGAGGGTTAGGGAGAGGGAGAGGGGAGAGAGCTCCCTCGCAGCACACGAAGCCTTTCTGGTTTTTCGTGTGTAGGTTTTAATAGTACTGTGGTATGCTACGGTACCATACCAAGGTAAAAATAGTAGCTTAACTTTCAACTGTGTGTCACCCATCATTAACTGAAAGCCCACTCTAGTTAACAGCAATTTCTTCATTGACTTCAACAGGCTTTATATTGGACCTCATGCCGAAAATAATCAGGATGGCCCGCTGTTGTCATTCTGTAAACCAGGAGTAACCGTGCTGAAAGACTGCAATGCTGATGTCGAGCTAATATCACGGAGATTTGAAAAGATTGAACGTTATTTGTCAAGTATGATTTAATGAAGCGACATTTATGTGTTTGACCCCTTTAGCTCTGTTTCATCGGGTACCCCTGCCACCTGACATTTGGGAGGTGCCTCTTCAGTGTAGGAAATCTTCTGATTATCTTTCCCAAACTTGTTTGGAAGAACTTTCACTTTGCATGTACTTTTTGTGCGCAATTCTAACATCTAAGTGTTTGCAATCGATTGGTAGTCATGCTGCTTTCAACACAAATTGTGAAGCATCCAGGAGTAACTGTAGCAACATGTTTGGCAGTAGTAACTTGAGTGTTGCTTTCTTAAAGACAGCAAGCACATACATCCTGAAGAGATGTCTTTGCTTCATCAAAAAGATAGATTTACTAATCAAGAATTTGCCTGCAGAGTTTTAAATGCAGGGATACACCACACTGAAATACAGAGCCTTGAGGAAATTAGTGTTCAGGAAAATATTGCTGTCTTACTGTGATGCTAAATAGTACCAAGTAATCTTTTTCATTATGTGTAAAAGCTATTAATTTTTTTTAACAATTCCAGATGAGCTGATAAAATATTTTGTGTGATTGGAGCGTATACTTTTAGCAGATGTCAAGATGCACAGGTTGTGAGCCCACTGAAAGTTAACTTTGTGTGAGAACAGACAGATGCCTTTGTGTGGTTTCAGAAAATAGAAGAATCTTAATCAGTTATTAATTAATCATTTGTTAATTTAAATACTTATTGATAATCATAATTATTGATAATCGTAATTATTGATTACTACAGATTGCACAATTTCTAGTATAATAAGGTTCTGTCTAGCAGTATAGTAGAATCACCATTTTTAGATTATTCAGGCTAAATAACAGGGATTTCAAGCTACGTGATGAAGAATTACTTTCTTCCTGTGTTCATCTTAGTGTGCTTCTGTTGGTCTGTTTCTGTATTAAAGATCAACAATAAAAAGCACCTTTGTTAACATGCAGCCAGTCATAATGTTTTTATTAACAACAAATCTAAAGTTGTAGAAAGGACTTGGGATCACTTGATCCTCACCTCTGGAAAGCAGCCAACATACAGCTGTTTAGATACTGTATTGATAATAA